GATGGGTATTTGATCTCCAGCACTTTAGATCTCTGTATTAAAGACTGGGGTAGGGTGGGGAGAAATGCGATGGCTGGGAAGCTGGCCTGCCCTTTCTGCCTGCCAAGCATTCGGATTGGCTTCCCAGGAGCAGCGTGGGGAGAGAAAGTGGCGAGATGCAGCGGGCTTTAGATCATTAGCCTCTGTAATTGCAGGCTTTAAAATGTGTGCTAATAAACGCCATTGAGAAGAGAGAGAGAGAGAGAGAGAGAGAGAGAGAAAATCCTGAAGCCTAGGCTGGAAGCAATTCCACGCTTCAGAGAGAGGATTTTCAAGCTGTCAACCCGGGCTGAACACTCTCTGAAGATCTTTCCAGGAGGGAGAATGAAAGAAGCACATAGAGTAGTAAACAAGGCGTTATGTAAGTCCGGAAGAGAGGTTCCAGGAGCAGAAAATACCTGTGAGGTATTTCAGAAACCAAGTGAAGGCAAACAAATAGGGTGTTATGATATCCCTGGACATGACAGCCTCACCAAAGCATAAGAGTGCATGAAAGATTGCCATGTTTACCTCCCACAGGATGATCTCCATCAATTGCGTAGCTTCTGAAGGTCTGGGTGGAATTAAAGTCAAATGATTTTGCACGCAGGAATGTGGACATTTGGACACCAAGCAAGTCCCCATGTTTATTTCCACTTTTATTAAATGTGAGAATATACATTTGGACACCAAGCAAGTCCCCATGTTAGAATCAGTCATGCTGTTTATTTCCACTTTTATTAACTGTGAGAATAAGGCACAAGAAGCGAGAACTCAGCGATGCAGTATTGGGGCAGCTGTTTCTACACATAGGAATTTCTCTTTACAAGTTACGACTCCATCTCTTTCTTTACCAATGGATTCAGAGATGCAATATTGGCTTCTCTGCTTAAAAGGATCAGCCTTCTGAGAACAGCCCGCCCCTTGTGCCAAAAGATGCTCGTGGCACGCTCAGGGCCATTTGCTACGGTAGAGATGGCCTGACTTCCATCTGACATTCAGAAGTCAGGTCTGGAGGGACACACGTGCGCTTTACCTACATCTAGAAGGACTCGCTGCAAGAGCCAGCGTGGGGAAACGGACAGAGAGCCAGAGGAAGGACTCAGGAGACTTGGGTTCAAAACCCAGTCTGGCCACGGAATCTCTCCAAGGCTTAGGAACAGCGACGCGCTTCTTGAGCATATCCTGCACAGCATGAAACCCCATCAGGGTTTCCAGAGGTTGGAAGTGAGCCGACGGCATGGAACTCCACCAGGAATGTCTCTTGCATAAACTGAGCTAGTAGGTGGACGTGGGTGGGGAAAGGGTTTATATGCAATGGTGCCTCATGGATCCTTTATCCTTTCCCACCGCACATGCCACCAATGTGTCCATGTGCACACACCCTTAGTATCCAGGTACATGCACGGCCTTTCTCGGGGGGCTGCTTCTGAAGCTTTTCCGCTTTCCCTTGGTGTCAACGCCTGGCCAACCAGCCTTTCCTTCGGATCAAGCCCTGTAATGGCCGCTGAGAGCAATGCAGGTGGAGGCCACAAAGGGAGAGAAACCGGCTGCTAATTGAAGGGCTTCTCGCGCTGTCCCAAGGGCCACGACGCTCCGCCGGGCAGCGGCCACTTCCTCTCAGAGTTCAAACTGAAGGCGCACCTTGCATCTCAAATTGGAATGAAATTTGCAGCCTGCCGTGTAGCCAGTTCCAGGACTCAACACATTGAGCAGAGCAGAACATGCTTCCACCACCAGCCTATCATTGCTTTTATTTCCAGAATGTACCCACACAAGCCCAGTTCTACTATCAAAACTCTGCAGGCTTCCAGAAGATGAGGAAAGCACCGACTTCCCCCTCCTCCATTATCTCCACTTTGATTTTGAAAGTGGGTTTGTCCTGCTCCAATGGGCCTTCCCAACAAGCAAACACAAGAACTACCAACCTGTTTTGGATGCTGTGTGAAGTTAGGACACACAGTCAGCCTCCAGAACAGGAAAATCCCAAGCCTCCTCTCTGACCACTGACAGGAATGACATGCAGGTATTTTAAGTTTTTAAAAGCTGCCCTTTAAATGGAGGGTCTTTAAAATGGCCATACACTGTGGGAATCGGATGATTGTGGTTTTTTTAAAAAATGTGTTTCTATTCCGTATCATATCCTATGGCTTACTGCAGAGTTCTCGTGTGCAAAACGGTGCTGGGCTTCTTTTGCTTAGGAGGAAGCTCTCTCAACTGGTAAAAAGGTGCAGGTGGGTAGGTCTCCCCCCGTTTCCTAGCTAGAGAAGCGGATGAAATGTGTCCTTTCTTCTCGCCCACAGGGAAGCTTTGGATCAGGAAAGACCGAGCTTTGTCTTGCCCGCTGTCAGCTTTCCAAAAGATCTCGGCTCCCTCTGCAAACACACAGGGCTCCCCAGGAGAAGTCTACAGTCTTGCCTCATTTAAGTGCATTTTGGAATTGAGCACAGAAGCAGCAGGGGGAACGCAGTAGTTTCCTTTCTCTGCCTAATTACCGTGCAAGTTGACAGCCTCTTCAAAGAGGTAAATAAATCGAAGAGAGCCACATGGTCCTTATACAATACAATGTGGGAGTAGGTGGCACCTTTATTAGTCCACTAAAGAAAATCCTGCAGTCTGCTAGTTTTTGTGGAACAAAGTCCACTTCCTCAGCCGTCCACCAGTGCCTTGCCAAGAGTGCAGAAAAATCAGTGTCCCAGAAATTCACGGCAGATGGCTGTGCCAGCCTCGTTTCTTAGAGGTCAATTAGAAAAAGGCCCAGCCGCACTGGAGGTGCGGTTTGCAAACTACAGCTCTGATCGCTGCCGGCTGGATATCACCTCTCTTTGGAAACTACAATTTTCTATTTGGCTGGGGAACAGGAAGAAAAAAAAATAACCTCAGACCCCTCCGCCTGGGAATTGGGTTGAAAAACTCAGTTATCCCACTAGGTAGAACCAACCAGAGCCAAATTAACAATATTACCTAGGGGTTAGGCATTCCATTCAGGCTTTAACAATATTACCTAGGGGTTAGGCATTCCCTTCAGGCTGAAGTCCTGCTGGGGTGATGTTAAAGAGTCCACGTTGCCTCCTTGTTGGTAGAGCAGAACAGCTTTTCTGCTGTCTTTCTCATTCCGAAGAAACACAGAGAGCCACGTAGGCCTGACACCGTTCAGCGCAGGAGACCCGTCGACAGCGACAGTGGCCCTGCTTACCTCGTAGCAACAGGCACGTGGCCTGGGGAGGGGAGCAGCATTCGGTAGAAACCACTACCTTACTTTAAGGGGGCAGCACAACCCCACAATCAATCTGCCACTGGAAGGAGCCACACGTTGGTGAAACCTATCGGCAAGACTAACTTTCCTGTCTGATTGGCTTCCCAGCCAGGATCAGCATTCCTCCAAGGGAGGCTGAAGGATTCCTCTAATTCTTCCAGGCTGTTCCACTTGGCCTCTCTGCGGCTGATGCCTCTGGCAGCTGGATGGAGTGTGAGCTCCATTTCAAAGCTCTGTGCTTGAAGTGACATGAAACTGCTGCCTGCAATGTCTGAATTAGGGCAGCTGCTCCTCACACTCCAATCATCAATTACAGCTTCATCCACCAACATAGCTATCTGAAGTCACCTGCAGATTTCTTTTTAAAAATGGGTCAGAAAGGTCAATAAATTGGACACAGAAACCAGCCAAACTCCTTCCACTAAGGAAAGGAAGAAAGGGAAAAACATAACAGGGTATTCAAAAGGCACAACACGTTTATAAAAGAGATCATGGCGCAAAACCAAACAGACCCACTAAAGCTTGAAATTCCAAGGACATTTGGGCTGCAATGAAGTTCAAGCCTAAAGGGGCACATATATTTGCATAAGGGAAAAAACAAACATACACCAGTAAATTGGCTTTAAATTTTAAAATAAAATAACATAAAATAATATAACACAATATAATATAACATAAAATAGATCAGTAAAATGAACTGTCAGCAATGTTCAAAGTGCAGGGTGAAGCCAGAGCTTCCCTACTGAGTTGGAAGGTTTGTTCTAGCTTGGGACAGGGCAGCGCTGGAAACGATCAGGAACTGTCGCAAACCGACAGACCTTCCGGCCGTTTTTCTCGACCCATTCGGGAAGGCTGAACTTCTGGTTCGTCCTGTTGCTGCGCCACACGTAGTTCCTGCACAGGGCCAGGGAGAAGAGCTTTAATGCAAAACATAATGACGAGGCAAGTTCAGAAAGAAGAGAGAGCCCATCGCATAGACATGATATCCCACCAGGGGTAGTTCTCCACCTGGTCTTTGAAAGCTTTTCTTTCACAGTGATCCATCAGACCCGACAGCCACAGGGGATCCAGAGACCTGCTTCCAAGGGAAGGCTCCTAGCTGCTTCGGGGAGGCCCTCAAGCCAAGCACAAAGGATTCGGCCCTCCTCTTGCAGCCTGTTTCTCAGGACCTGGCATCTTGTTGGTTTGGTTGGTTTGACTGACAGATCAACTGATTTATAGGCCGCCTTTCTCCCAATAAGGGGACCCAAGGTAGCTCACAATATTAAAAAGAATAGAATTAAAAACTCAGTAAGCTAAACATTAAAAAAAACAATTAAACTATATGCTAACTGAAATACAATTCAGGAATTAAAAGCAGGCACTGAGGCTCCAAAAATTTGTTTCAGCTACTGAAACAGACAGACATCTCTTGTGTTCACCTAGCCCTGTTTTAAAGCTTCATCATGTACTAGCCACACTCAAGCAAACGCCTTACTTTGATTATCTGTGTGTGTGTAAGAGAGAGAGAGAGAGAGAGAGAGAGAGAATGTTTGTTTTCTTGCATGCTCCTAAAGGCATCCTACTTCATGTACTAGCCACACTCAAGCAAATGCCTTACTTTGATTATCTGTTACAAGTGGGTATTAGAAAGTTTGTTTTCTTGCAGGGTCCTAAAGGCATCTATCCTCCTCTTCATGCTCTGGCAAAGACAGGGCAGATTTCTAAGGAAGCACCCACTGCTTGGTTTTCAAGCTCTTCTAAGACTGCTGGTGGCTGCTGCCCCTCATGCATGCACACTTCTCTGTCCATTAGAAAACGGTGTTGCTCTGTCATGTGGAGAAGCAGCATTACTTCTCTAGGTGTTACTGTGGAACAATCACATCACAAACACCAACACAGTGGGAAGCATCAGCGACAGGAGTGAGGCCAGACACGATATGACACCTTCCTGACTCCACTGAATTGCCTCTGATTAAAAGGCTGAAGAGCAGTGGAAACCCCCCCAAAAAAAACGGTACCCCTTTCAAGTGATAAATGCATTCTTCCTATTCAGCTGCAGAACGGTCAGGCTGACTCCTCCACCCCACATTTATACTTTATTGGGCAGTCTTTTCTCCTGACCAAAGCTGCATGCCAGAAACGAAAAGCTTTAAAAAGCGCAGCTGCGTTTTTTAGCAATGCTAGAGAGACAGGGCTGGGGCAGATTATGGCTGGTACGAACACTGCATTTTATAGCCGTTTGAGCTCATGGTTTACACTCCTTCCCCCACTCCTACTTCACGGAGGAGGTCTCCTACACCCAATGGGAGTACATGCTGGCCCACACACACCTCGGCCATAAAATCTTTTGGGCAGAGTTCTACTCACTTATGCAATCACGTAAGGGTGATCATACAAGTATGACTGTTACCCCCAACTTTCAGAAGGGTCTCCTTCACTCGCAGAGTCTTGCAAAACTGGGTGCACGCTTGATCATGCAAACAGGATCTCTTAAAGGGAGATAGCCTGCTACATGATTGCTATTCCACGTACTATCCCCCCCCCCGCAATNATTCTGTATTTTTAGTCTTTAAGATGCTACAGGATCCTCTATGAGTTTTTCATAAGATCTTTCAGAAGGCTCTCGAAACAGCTTCTGTTTCCTAAGGAAGAATGCTTGCAATGTGGGTTCTGCCCTGATATTCACCAAGAGTGGCACAGTACCTCTCAGTCAGGTCAGTCGTGTGCTGGCGTCTGTATTCCTGGTTTTCAGAAGCAACGCATTGGATCAGTGCATGCAGCTCATTCACTTCACCTGCAATTTGGCCAAAGAAAGGGTTACTTGAAAGGCAATGCAGTCAAATTTGGTTGCACCAGGTATGAGATGGACAAAGTTGCTCCAGTTGTATATATGTGTAAGGACAACTGCACCACGTTTTCCCCTCTGGCATGTTCAGGACTGGTAGAACAGTCTATTTTCGAACCAGTCCTTACCCGTTCATGCAAAGGAAAACCTGCCAGGAGGAGCAAACTGGCCTTCTGTGACCACACAAGCTAACAGAATTTTTCATGCATTCAGAGCTGCGCCTGCCAGTCCTGTGGCTATATTTGGCATCGGCGGCAAGGAAGGCAGCCTGCCTGTCAGGGTCCGTGTGTAGCTGCGCGAGCCTGAGTAGCAGGTTCACAGATGCAGCCGGCAATGCTGTAACTGATACTAGTCCGGAAGCCCTAATACGGTTCTCTCTCAAATGTCACAACCACCCATCATTTCAGAAAGGAGCTTTCTTGCCGGGAATGGCTCATGTCAATCCAGTTCAAGAAGGATTTCAGTTAATGTTATGAAACTAGAATGACGGGAGATGAAAGAGAGACAGGCAGGAAGCTTTCCCACGTGCCATCATGGCCACAGAAAACACGCTTGAAGAAAACCAGGCAAGGGGGGGGAACCACCTCTTACAGAGGCAGGTAAGAACAGAAGAGGGGAAGGAAAAGAGGCCATGAAGGAGGACAAAGGCTGCTTGCACATAGGAATGTTCACATGGCCATGTACATAGTGCCATGGTCTAAAAATTCTTGTGATTCTTTAGGAACGGAACTGCCCCTCCCGCTCTGGCTGGCCTCCTCTGCCTCTTCTGCAATAGCCCAGTCCAGCCCCATCGAGCACAAAGCAGGAAGTCCAGATGCAGCTGGCCCAACAGGATCCTCAGGGAGTGACTCGGAAGAGCAGCCCCCATTCGGACGATGTTCTCCCTGCTCCCTGGACAGCAGGCTGCAGGAACATTATTCCAAAAACGCCTAACTCTGCCACAAATGGCCTACGAGAGCGGATTCTAGAGCAGAGGTTCCGCGCAAGGAATGGCACAAAGCAAGAAACTTTTTCACAAAATTAGAGCCCTCGTTGTTCATGGCTGCAAAAGAGCTGTGAGGCACTAGTGATTCTCTCGACACCTGGAGGCTGTGCAAAAGTGTAGGGTCTCCAGTGTGACCAGCAAAGCGACCTGGGACCTAGGAATTAGGCCTCTCATCACATCCGGGGATGTTCATACAGCATTTCAGTTTTACCATCACCAGGATTTAAAAAGCAATTTTGAAACATTCTGGGAACCTGTGCATCAACTGAGCTCATACCATTACGCATTAGAAAAACTTTAGAAAAAGGTTCAGAGCAGTTTGCGGGGGGGGGGGCACTGCCATCCCTTCCTTCTGCCAGGGAACAAAGGAAGTTCCCCCTCCTGCCTGATTCAGAGAGGCACACCTCCATGGTTTGTAGGACAAAACAAGACAAGGTATTTCTGGCTTTATTTGAGCCATCATCATATTGTGTTAAAACAATACACTCCATTGGAGAAAAAAAAAAGTCAAAGCAAAAGTGCTGATTTTTCTAGCCCAAATGATTCGCCTTGTAATACGCTTTCTTTTCCACAGTCCTGTTTCCATTTACTGGGGAAGGGGCATGACATGCTGGAATTTTATGTGTAGGGGGGAAAAGGTTGTTGCTTTATTTCCTCCACTGTACGCTGGCGCCATCTGTTAGCAAACCATAGTACAATGATACCCAAGAACACACAGGAACGTGGAATAGTGAAGCTCCTCCGTATTGGAACACACGTTGGAGGCAAACAAGGCAGGGAATTTCCCTGTGAGTCTTGCACCAAAAAACCTCTAAGGCTCTTATCCATCAGGCTTAACTCCTTCCTCAAGCAGGCGAGCTGCCATTCTGCAGGCTAGGAAGAAGTTCAGTCTGACAGTCCTCAGAGGCTGCCATTCAGTTATGGGGAAACAGAGAAAGGGGCATTCTTTTAAAAAGGACCTATAAGGCCCCTTCAATTGCTGGATGCCTTCAAGATCTTGCAGGTCAGGCTCATACAAAAAACCAGAAGATGAGAAAAGAGAGCCTGTTTTGGTTGCCAAAGATCTTGGGTTCCTTTCTTTGGATAAACAAGTAAGGCAGTGGCCTTTGTATAAATAGCCCCGTTAAATGCTATAGCCTGCCATACAGCCTATCTGTTAATTACCCTCTCACTCAGAAACCTCACAGGAAGTGTCAGGCCTGGCACAGACTGATGTGGTTTGCTCAGAGCGACAATGGGAATTTCCACAACACCCAAAATTGCAAAACATCAAGAGTTGAGTGCACAATTAACATATTTGAGAGATTCGTACCCTGCACAGGTTTGAGCAGCACGTATTTGGTCATACGTGGTTTTTTCCAATACTTATTTCAGCCTGAGTTATGACGCTGAAAGAGGGGAGAATTTAAGGAGGAGAAAGGCCTCAGTACTACCTGCCAAACAAAAGGAGGCCCCTGTAAGAAAATGTAGCATTGCAGCAATGAGCAAATATCCCAGAAGCCTTGAGAAATGAAGGTCTGGAGATAAGCAAAAAGGACACTGGTAATCATAACACATGTGCAGACGGTAAAACTGAAGACAAGCTGCATAAGAGTCTCCCTTTCCTCTTCCAACTCTGTGGAGTCTCAGAGCCTCTGACCTCACCAACGGATGTCAAACGTTCCATGCACCACAATCCCCCTCCAAAACAAACAAATACCACCCACTTCTCATGATGCAATGCACCCGGTGCCACAAGCAAGACCTGGCACATGGTCCAAGTGACTGCCAAGACAAGGGGTTGAGCAGCCGCACACTTGAGTGCAACAGGCAAGACGCCCTGCCTTCCAGAGAGCCAAGGCAGAAGAAGAGGTCCTGGACGTTCTGGCTGGATTCTTTCTGCAGCGGCAGAAAGGAGGCCCTTCCCAACACCCTTGGCTCACACGATGTGTCGCGCGCCCCCCTTCTCTTCCACACCCCTCCCATTCCTTCTTTCACCCTCATGCTTACTTATGACTGGCCTGCTGCGAGCGTGGGCAAGGACAGCGCGGATGTATTTCTCCTTCCGCTCCTCAAGGTCTTTCTCTTCGATGTAGACACGTCTAGGCCTTGTAGGGACAGAGAAAGAAAACAGCAGGACAAATTGATTATCTTCTTACAAGCCTTCAAGTACACAAACTCGGGGGGAGGGGCTTCCGGGAGCAAAGACAAGCAGGCATGATTGTACAGAGGTGGCCTGCAATAACTGTGCCCCCCCCAGGGCAGCTGGGAGGCTGTACCACCAATTTCAGAAAAATCAAGTCTTCCATCCGCATTTTCATTGAAGCTGAGCCACTTCAGAGGGTGAAAGTGCCAGTGTGGTGGTCAGAGAGAGCTGGACTCATACTTGGGAGATCCATAAGACTTATCGTTCTCTTTCAGCCAAACCCACGTGACAAGTACACAGGAAAGGAACCTTGAGCTGGCTGAAAGGCAGGCAGGATAAAGGTAACGAGTACATAAAATCTGCCACACAACAGTTTTCTAAAATGCAAGGGACAGCTTTCCTGCCTTCAAAAATTAAAAAGGTATTCTGGCGGTTGCAGAGCCACTTAGGAGAAAGGGGTTCTACCTGCCAACTGCAGCATGGAATCAACAGCCAGACTGTGGACCTGCTGCCATCTAGTGAAAAGCAAAGGAATACCAGATGGAGTTATTTCAGGGCAGCTTTCCTAGCGCCTTTCCTTTGTGCTACCTCACCTGGTGACAGCTTGAAGGCAGCTCAGAGAAGGAGCCTGGACCCCATAGATACCTTGCACATGAACCTAAAGGAAGTTCCAGAGACGAATCCAAGAGCAAAAAAGGCAGGAGAAAACAGAACATCTCACACCAAGCAGCAAATGACTTGAGAAAGCAAGCCTAGCTGCATTCTGGGGGTGGGTGTACTGACCTCTTTGGTTCTGGCGCAGGAGGATTTTCTATGCAAATCTTTCTTTGATCACCAACAGAACTGGACGTGGACGGTGCTCCCTTGCACTGTGAGCTGGAAGAATGTGACGCTCCTTCAGTGGACTGCAGGACACTGCTTGTCCTTTTCCCCCTGAGCAAAAGTTCGTTTACGGAAGCCTGACTCTTGGAGGGTCCTTCCTCTTGCCCACTCTCCTCTTCCACTGTCTGAGCTGCTCCCTTCTCTCGTCTCCCAGATAAATCACCCTCTTTCTGCAGATTCAAAAGTGCATCTGCAACTCGCACAGCATCTGGAAGCAAAGGTCTGCCACAACCCAAGCCAGATCCAGCTTGGGAGTCCTCCTTGCTCAGGTCGCTCCCACCCCCAGGAGGCCCAAAGCGCTCCTCATGGAAAGAACGGACAGTTGGACGAGATGGCTCTGTGCTTACAGCCCCCTTTAGAGCCTTGGGAAGCTGTCTGAATTTAAGAGATGCAAAACCCTCGCTACTTTCCACTCTCTGGAAACCGAGTCCCAGTCGGACTTCATCTGAAGATGTCTCCAGATCATCCACCAAATTATCAAACAAGAGTCTATCCTCATCTTCACGGGAGAGGCCAGTGGGGGAGTCCGGATTTCCCCCACCAGGGCTATCCAGCAGGGAGTCATCTATATCGCTGTCATCACTGGCGGTTGAGGAAGCAAAAGGAAAAGATGCGATTCCATTGCTTATGGAGGATCGGTGAGGAGGGGATGAACCGCTGCCCTGCGTGTAACAGCCTCTCTTCCTCTCTGGTTGTTCCCTCTCTTCAGTCTCTCCCAAGGGACTGCTGCTCCTAGAAACTGAATTATTTAAAACAGTGATTTTAATATTATAGCTGTAGGGGTGGGAAGGGTTGCCTGCCATGATGCTACTTTCTTGACTCCTGTAGGTGTTGGTTTTCTAGTCTCTCTGCTCTAGAAGAAGCTAAATGAGAGAAGCGCTTTGGACTCAAGATCTTCCTTCAGCCAAAGCCGTTCCTCATTACCTGTAAAAACAAAAACACAAGGAACGAGCTGAAGAGATCGCTGCATTTTGTTCTCTTCCAATTCAACCACTTTTCCACAGGAAAGGAAACCCTCTGCTTTGGGCCCTACACACACACACACAGAGAGAGAGAGAGAGAGAGAGAGAGAGAGAAGACTGCACTTTCTTAGGAATAGGTTCCGCTCAAATGCATTAGTCCAGTGGTTCTTAACCTTTGTTACTCAGATGCTTTTGAACTGCAACTCCCAGAAACCCCAGTCAGGACAGCTGGTGGTGAAGGCTTCTGGGAGTTGCAGTCCAAAACTCCCGAGTAACCCAAGGTTAAGAACCAGTGCGATTAGTCAATAACATTATTGATTTAAATTGTTGTTTAATTGTTTTATGATATTTTTATTGTAAGCCACCCAAACTAAATAAATAAATAAATAGCCTAGTCCCAATGAATATGGGCAGAATCAACATGCCAGTAAGAAAAAAGTTTACTCCCAAACCCCCTGGAGATGTTGGTAAATAAAGGACCGCAAATCACAAGGTGGTTAAAATATTTCTGCCTGTTACGCATTCCAAAGCTTAATGTTCAGACATGCAAACTCCCACAACAAATACCATTTAGGGTGAAGGGCTGGGACACAAGCAAATCTAGATAAATGTTGCCTCTGCTCCTCACAAAACGAATGTTATCAATTGCAGGGACTGTATTAACTCTTTATCTCCTGTGGGCCAGGATGACGGTCTGATGTGCAAATAACTTTCCTCCTTGCTTGTGAACTGTGGAACGGGGGGGGGGGGGAAACACAGGGGATTCTGGGATATGTAGTCTCTCTTTTTTAAAAAAAATCCATCCCAGGGGATCCTGGGATTTATAGTGTCCCCTCCAAAAATGACCCCTTCCAAGGTCTGGCAAGGGGCGGCCTCATTATGCTTTCCTGGTCCAAGTCCCTCTATTATACGTATAGGGAGAGAGTCAGGTCTCCTCCATCATCCCCCATTATCCTCCATGCTCCTTCTCTCCCCCCCTTCCTCCCACCCACCCCTCACTTCCCTTGGCCGGCCACTCTCCTCCCTTTCACCAAGGAGGGCGAGCGGGCAGGCGGGCCTCTCCAGCGGGGCCCCTGAGGGGAGGCGGCGGCGGCGGCGGATATTTCCCCCTCCTCCTCCTCACTCACCCGCCGCCATCTTGGCTCCTCAGGTGCCTCGGCTCGAAAGAACCCCGCCCCCTCCCTTGCTGCCTTCCGAGGTCACGCCCCCACGTAGGCCACGCCTCCTCCGGGGACAAGTCCGACCACCGGCCGGCAGATGGACCAATCAGGACGCCTGAGGGGGGGGAGGAGAGGCGGGGCTGACGTGTGCAAGAGCGGCTTACAGAAGGCCCGCCCCCATCCGTACCGTCCCTCCAATCCTGTTCCTCCTCGCCCATCGAGGGGAGGGGTGAGATAGAGACCAGCTCCCCATCCCGGGCTTCAGCTAGGAAGGAGAAAGGGGCCACATGTGCTTCCCCTGCTTCGCCCTCCCCGCCCTTTTTCTGGGCGGTGCTGGACTACAACGCCCATCATCCCCAGGCAGGCCAGCTGGTCTTTGTATACCCCACCAGGTCTGGATGGGGGCAGGGCAAGCCCACCCACCCCTCTTCCCATAGATAACAATCCCCCATAGATCCCTCTCTCTCCCTCTTCCCCACAATTTGCGGGGGGGGGCGGGAGGAGAAGAAAGCAAAATATATTTAATTCATTTACTGTATGTTTATATATATATAATAGAGAGAGAGAGATAAACATTAAAAATGTAAATTTCTATATCTATCTGTAATTACTATATTTAATTATTTATCCCGCCTTTTTCCTTTAAAAAAGGACCCAAGGTGGCTTACAAGGAAGCTTCTTTAAAAATCGTATTTTTCTCTTTTTTTTTAAACCCAGCTGGCATCCAGAAGGAGCCTCAGGCTGCCCCCATCTCAGCCCCTTTTTTATCTCTTTCTAAGCTTCTGTCCTTGTGGGAACAGAAAGATCCCTTCAAGCTGAGAGAGGAAGGCTTCCCCACCTGCCCCTTCTGGAATAATGGGAATTTTGCTCCGTTTCAGGGTGGAAAGACTAGCTGGTGAGCGAGGAGCAACTGCTGGCAGGATGGGGCACGAGCTGACGGCGGAGGAGAAGTATCACCTGATCACCCGGAATTTGCAGGTAGGGCACGTCCACTGGGATTACTGGGATCCATTCCTGGTTTTGTGTTCAGCATCAATGTGGAGTTATTTAATTTATTTTAAATGTCAACTCCCCACATACACGTTTCTCCTTCAAAAGGACCCAAGGCAGCTTCCAACATTAAAAGACAATATTTAAAGCTAGGAACAGTGAGTATAAAGAGGCATCTTACATCATTAAAAGGTAATATTAAAGCTAAGAACAATAAGTACACAAATACTAGAAAGAAAGAAAAACCCACCCTCAAATGTCACTCTAAGAAATGGAGAACCCGGAAATGGAAAACGCAAGTAGGACTAACAATCCAGTCAAAGCAGTCCTGCGTCACCATCTTTATAAACATCACACACAGCCTGCTTGTGGAAGAACAGCAGAAATGACAGATGTTGGCATCACTCTCTGGACCTCTTCAGGCCCTATAGAGAGCCTCTCACGGCGGGAGTGTGCCCTACAAGACATCCTAGCACCATATCGGCTCAGAGCTTCACTACAAACCCCATCACTCCCCAGTCAGGAGAGGCATGCTGGCTGGGGATAATGGGAATTGTATTCCAGCCCCATAGAAGGTTCCAGATCAGACGGCACTGATCAGAACAAATATCAGAGGTTGGAAAAGTGATTTTGAGGTCAATGAGGAGGGAATCATCCCTTCCCGAATCCTCCAACTAGCATGTCCAGTGGCATGTTCATGCCAGCAATCTGGATTCTGGGAACTATAGCTTTAAAAAAAAGAATTCTTCTCAAGTGTTAGGATTCAGCTGATAATATCAGCCCGGACATTTCACTGCAAGAGTCTAAGAAGAGTGAATTTCCTTAGCTCGTATTTTAACAAGGTCGTATTGTTATGTATGCAAAGGTCCCTTCAAGCCTACGGCTCCAACTGAATTATTTTCTCTCTTTGGAAATATAGTTTCGACACCACTGTGACCACCAGGGCACTGTCCCCTGAGAGAAGGTCTAAGATTGTGCCTGCCAAGCATGGAGGGGGATTTGGTACCTTAAAGTGCACCTTGTGTGGAGATCAAACTTTTAAGCTGGATCTTCCGCTGAGGCTTCTTTCTTCCAGAGTCTACGCTCATCTTCTAGTGCTGAGAATGGGGTGTGATGAGTTGGAGGGCCAAGGCTTAAAATCAGAGGGAGGACATCAAACTTGAGTATCTTGCATGGGAAGAAAAGTGAGGGAATGACAGATTACTAGATCATCTCATGGCGCTGTAACCTTACCTTCGGGAGAAACCTGCCCAGTAAACACATTAATTTGTGTAGAGGCTTTAGAAGTAAGCTGTGTGTTTACTGAAGCTTGTGGTACTTATAAATCTGTTTTGGAATATGACAGGGCTCCATTATTTTGTTGCAAGAGACTAACACCCTTGTGGCCATTCATGCAGGCATCAAATGCCAGCAGTCTAAGGTGCCAGGAGCTGAATCAATCAACAAACCCATTGTAAACACAACGTCTGGGTTCAGAGAGTGACCTCAGAACCCATGCAGCTAAAACTGGCTCTGGATTTTCTGAGTTATGTGGCCAATGACTGATTTTCCGCTTTCAGGACATGCAGTTGTAAGATAAAGATACCAAGTAATGGAATTAGGAAATATGATTTTTAGGGAAGGGAGACAGGAAGGGAGAGGAGATTTGTGAAGCTGCTACGTCGCTCTCCAGGCTCTGTCGCTCTCCAGGCTCTGTCGCTCTCCAGGCTCTGTCGCTCTTTGCCGGGAGATTTGTGAAGCTGCTACGTCGCTCTCTAGGCTCTGTCTCTCTTTGCCATCAAAAACAAGAAGGTGTGAATTAAGGTTAGAAACCAGATGTCTAAACCTTCCCTTTGGCTGTGGCGGTGAGTCACTCCTTGTCCTTGATCTGCTGCTTTTCCCCTTGGGTGTCCTTGGGCTTGCCACTTAACGATGGTATCTCAGGAAGTTTTATTAGGTGAGTAATTGGGCTTTTCCAGCAATTTGCAGTATTACAAACTGGCTGAGTATTCGGAGGAAGAGTCAGAGATGCAGAACAGCCATTGGGAAAGTAAGGAAGATCAAAGTAGTTTTATTTAGATCACCCAACAAGTTGGTGTCCCACAAAAGTGTTCAGGGCGTTACTTTGCAGTCCAGCAGGCAGAGCACAAACAGGCAGGCCAGATGCAGTGCTTGGGCAAAATCACAGGCTTCCAAACAGAGGCTGATTGAAGAAGGGCAGGACCAGAACAGGCAAGGCCTGCTCTTTGTTTTAGAATCACAGGCTTCCAAACAGAGGCTGATTGGAGAAGGGCAGGACCAGAACAATGGGTCCCCAGGCAAGGCCTCCTCTTTGTTTTAGTTTGTTTATTATTTTATTTTATTTAAAATATTTTAACCCCACCTTTCTCCTTAAAAAGGACCCAAGGCAGGCTGCATCATTAAACAACAATATTTAAAGCTAAAAACAATGAGAGCCCTCTTTGGACTCCAAAGAAAGTTTACTTCTTGTGCCATGAGGTTTGGGACTGGTTTGCCCTTGCGTTCTGCGCTGCCCATGCGGATCAAGGCACCCGTTTTCTTCCCCCTCCCCCCCTTCAGTCTTTATCTCCTTGATTTTGTAATTTTCGGTCTCTTTGGCTTTCAGGAAGTTCTCGGAGAGGATAAGCTGAAGGCCATCTTGAAGGAGCGAGAGCCGAAGATCTACTGGGGAACAGCCACCACCGGGAAGCCCCACATCGCCTACTTTGTCCCCATGTCTAAAATCGCGGACTTCCTCAAGGCGGGCTGTGAGGTAGGCCTGGTCCTGCCTTATTCTGCCATCCCACCTTCTCATGCTGGGCCGATTTCATAGAGTTCACCCTGTTGGTCCATTTCAGCAGCAACACACAGAACAAGCTGTTTCTTCGATGGTGTCTGAAGCCCACTGTAAACAGCAAAGCCGCTTGCTCAGCTCTTGTTTGCCTCAAACGTGCCACAGTGTTTTTGAACCAAAGAGAGTCCGAGCCGAACGTGCTGCTTATTTTCCTCTCTTTTTCTCTCCTTCTGTCAGGTGACCATCCTGTTTGCTGACCTCCATGCGTACCTGGACAACATGAAGGCTCCCTGGGAGCTTCTGGAGCTGCGCACCCAGTATTACGAGAATGTGATCAAGGCGATGCTGGAGAGCATTGGGGTCCCCCTGGAGAAGCTCCGGTTCATCCGAGGGACAGACTATCAGCTCAGCAAGTAAGACTTCACACCCCTATTGGTTTTTCATTTCCTATGGAGGGACGCTCTCTCTCTCTCTCTCTCTCTCTCTCTCTCTCTGCGGGATACCAGACATCAGTTGGAAGGGCCTAATGTTGCTTTGGGTGCCCGTTTGTCCGTGTGACCCAGAGGAAATAAGAAATACAGTAGGAACCCCATATCCTCGGGGGATCCATTCTAAGAGCCGCTGCCCCTGCAGATGCTGCAAAACGTGGATGTGCATAGCATGGTCTCCAGTTCCCTCTAAATGGCCATTTCTGGCAACTTCATCTTTAGAAATCTATATATCTATGATCTTTTAATGGTCTCAGACTGTAGGTCAGTGGATACGGATCCCGCGGAGAAGACATTTTTGGCTGGTTGGGGGTTTAATTTTGAGACGGTCTTTCCTCCTTAACGGAAGCCCAGCTGCCTCTGTTCGGCCTGGACTTCCTGAGTCCCCCTGGCCGTTTCTGTTTCTAGAAAAGGAAGAGCTTTCCTTACCCCAGTGCGTTGGTCTCTTCTTCTTTCCTCCCAGGGAATACACCCTGGACGTCTACCGGCTGTCCTCGGTCGTCACCCAGCACGATGCCAAGAAGGCTGGAGCGGAAGTGGTGAAGCAGGTGGAGCACCCGTTGCTCAGCGGCCTCCTGTATCCAGGGCTTCAGGTACCCATCGTTAACGGCCACCCAAGGGAGAAGTGGGAGCCCACGTTCAAGGCTAGCGTAGACCCGTTGAATCCCTTGGTGAATTGGGAGTGAGTGTCCATGTATGTACGTCCCATTGACTCAACAAGTCTCCTCCAGCCAGGATGATCAGTTGGTCTCAGGCGTTGGTGGGGGGGTTGTCCCAAATACTAAGCTTCGAATGTTTTCTGGGAATGTGTGACTTTACCTGTGTTTGGCTGTGGGTGCAGCCCTTCCACATCAGCAGGGAAAAGTGAGGGAGCACCATCCGGCTAACAGGAGGCTTGTCTGGCAGAACCCCTTCTGGAGCAGCGGTCTCTCCTATGATTCCATGTATATCGCGTGGATTTAGGGGAGGAGCGTCTTTTGTTTAATGCTCTTTGTGTCTCAAAGGGAGAGGCAGAGAGACGGCACCGTCTCTCAGAGCCTCTTGATGCACGAAGGAGTGATTTGCCAAGTTTAGCCCTGTTTTCAGGGGTTCCAGAGTGACTGCTGTTAGAGGATACCGGCTGCTTGCCTTCGGAGAACCTTTGAGATAAAGGTCAAATGAAAATCTAAATGGAGATTGCTCAGGCCTTTTGATGAACTAAGATGGAAGGGATTCTGGTTTTGGTTGCCTTCAACCCTTGGAACTCCCAGCCACTGGCTTTCGCACAGTGCCCAGGAGACAAGCCATTGAGTTGCTAAAATCATTGAGTTGGTTGTGTTTCTCGGCAGGCACTGGACGAAGAGTACTTGAAAGTGGATGCGCAGTTTGGAGGCGTGGACCAGAGAAAGATTTTCACTTTTGCAGAAAAGGTGAGAGGGAGAGGCTTTACCTAGTTTTGCCAGGTAATCAAGGATTCTGCTTTGAAGTGGGTGTGGCTTGTTTTGGGCCCGTGCGCTAGCCGTATCTACGTTGACCTGGGTAATATGTGGTGCTCTCTCTCTCTATCAAATCTACCTCTGCTCTGTCAAGCCCCTGGACTCTGGAGCAAGTTTACTACTAGGTGTGATACCTGTGTGATCTAGCTGTTTCTGTCTTCCTCTCTCAGTACCTTCCTTCCCTGGGCTACGCCAAACGCATCCACCTCATGAACCCGATGGTCCCAGGATTGACGGGAAGCAAGATGAGCTCCTCGGAAGAGGTTTGTTTTTAAACTCAGGTTCCTCAATTAACACAGAACAATAAACGAATCAGACAGCAGGGGAGGCAGTATAAATCAGCTACAACCCTAGACAATGAGTAAAGTGAACAGAGGGAAAAGAAGACTTTTCAAGATGCCAAAGTCATGTTTTGTCTCCTGGAGTAAAAAGGTGCAAGTTTTCAAAATCTTGTCCTTTCTTTAGGAGTCCAAGATTGATCTCCTGGATCGGAAGGAGGATGTGAAGAAGAAGCTCAAGAAGGCTTTTTGTGAGCCTGGGAACGTGGAGAACAACGGGGTCCTGTCCTTCATCAAGCACGTGCTCTTCCCGCTCAGATCAGGTGACGCTCTCCTACAGCTGGGGGGGTGTTGGGGGGCAAGAAAGGGAGGTTGTGGCTTTGTGGGGGGAGGCACAAGGCTTAGATCTCTACAATGCTGGCCAAGAGGCTCCTCAGAAGGAGAACGCAAAGGCAAGAAGCACAGAGGCCTCTCTCTGTCTTTCCCTCTGCACTTTTGATCTACTGAAAATCTTCTTCCGCCGGAAGAGCTCTCTGAACACCGTAGGGATCAATAAAAAACAAAGGCCACCTCGGGCTTACTTTTTGGAAAGAAGGGGTCATATAAGGAAAAAGAGATGAGGAGGGGGAAAGGAAGTCAGAAAACCTTTCCAGGGTTTGAGATTATAAGTTTCTTCCCATGAGCAGCTGTGCAGTTGGAATCCCCTCTTTGCGGGTCTCTTCAGGGGAGAGCCCACCCCCTCCCACCGCCCTCTTGGACCCGACGGACTTTTGGGGACCGGCAGGTGCGGTTTTTCCTTCCCCCTCAACACACACCGCCCTCATCTATCCAGGCTAAATGGACTTCTTTCATGGCTTGTAGGGCTCGGGTTTTTTTTTTCCAAATGAGGCATTGTTCTCAGATGTTGGGCAGCCTTTGCCAGCGTTCCCTCCCTTAATGGTAAGGACGGAGCTGATAGGATTGTGGCCGGAGGAGGATGAGCTGCCAGTCGGGCTTAGGATTTAGGATAAAAACCGAGCCCTTGAGAGCTTCTGTGCACCCAGCGCCCGCCCGCCCACTCAGTGTTCCTGCCGCTGCTTCATGCACACGTCTCTCGATCGTGGTAGATCTTCAAAGCTCTCCTTCTTCTCCCATTGCCCCCCTGCCCCACCCCCAGAGTTTGTGATCCTTCGAGACGAGAAATGGGGAGGAAATAAAACCTACAGAAACTACGAAGACCTCGAGAAGGACTTTGCCGAGCAGGTGAGTCCCCTGGGGTGGGTACGGGGTCAAAGTAGCCCATGGGGAAGGGGCAGAGGGTTCTTTGCCACCGGTTTGCAGGCATCGGGCGCTTCTCTTTTTTGGGGTTGTTTTTCTGCACCACCCGTGGAAGGCTTGGAGCAGGCTTGGAAACAGGGCAGCCCAGCCTCCCTGCCATCCTGTGGAAAGAGACCCACAGGAAACCCTGAGGCCAGGAGGATCAGGAGGGAGGGCAGAGGGAAGGGCTTGCAGTCCTGCCCCATCACCCCCAAAGACCCAGTCAGGATGAAGGAAAGCCATAAGCGCTTTCCAACGTTTGCTTCTAGTTGTGAGATACACGGTGTGGCCTTCCCCATCCTTGTAACTTTCCCATTAGCAGCGGTGTACCATTAGGAACATGCTACCAACACAGACGCGTTCGCCTAAATGCACTCTTTAGACACACCTTGCTCACGCCATCGAGTCTTGCGCTACAACGGTCCCTACCGGATCTTGTCCACAGTCAGGAATGGAGCCAAGGGAACAAGGGACAGCTGTCAGCACCCATCCGGGGGCGGGGGGGAGGAATGCATTGCATCAAGTGGATTGGGGTGGAGCTCATTGACTCTCCATCTCCCTTCGGCGGGGGGGGGGGAAGGAATGCATTGCATCAAGTGGGTTGGGGTGGAGCTCATTGACTCTCCGTCTCCCTTCACGGCGACAGGTTGTCCACCCAGGGGACTTGAAGAACTCCGTGGAGGTGGCCTTGAACAAACTCCTGGAGCCCATCCGAGAGAAGTTCGCCAGCGCCCAAATGAAGAAGCTGGCCAGCTCTGCCTATCCCGACCCGTCCAAAGCAAGTAAGGGCTGAGCACTCAGGTCATGAGCACTTTCCGGCCAAGGGGATGGTGTCCTCTGGCTGTTTTGCAAAGCCTGCTCTCCTGGCCGGGCCCTTAGGCCTTGAACGGGCGGCTCCTCTAAACCCTCGCCCTTCTCTTCCGCACCTGCAGAACTCCCTGCGAAGGGCCCTTTGAAGAACTCTGACCCTGAAGACGTGGTGCCGTCCCGAGTGGACCTCCGTGTCGGCCGAGTCCTCAGCGTGGGGAAGGTAAGCGGGCTCCCCCTGCCCTGCTTCTCCCCCCCCATTCCACTGCATGGACGTGGCTGGGCAGGATTCCCCCCCCCCCCACGGCCCCGACCTCAGCCAAGGAAAGCCGCTTCCCTGGACTGGACATGGGCGGGTCAAGTCCCGGAAGGCGCCACTCCCTTTCCCACTACCAGGGGTGTTGAGGCAGTTCTTCTCTCGCCCCCAGCATCCTGACGCCGACACCCTCTACGTGGAGAGGATCGATGTGGGAGAGCCTGTGCCCCGGACGGTGGTCAGTGGCCTGGTGCAGTTCGTTCCTCAAGAGGAGCTGCAGGATCGGCTGGTGGTCCTAGTGTGCAATATGAAGCCCCAGAAGATGCGGGGGATCGAATCCCAGGCTATGCTGCTCTGCGCTTTCAGGTGCTTAAGTAGAATTGCAAGGAGGCGGGGGGGGGGGAAGAGTAGGGAGCAGAAGGTGGCCAGGTGATCCACCCCCACCTCCTTGGGGGGGCCGAGCCATCGGCTGCTAAACCTTTGGCTGAATTTTCTGTTACGGGAGGAAGGCGCATGAGTCAAGCATGCCTCTTTATTCCTAAATGTTTAGCTGCGTTCTCTCTCTCTCTCTCCCCCCACCACCACTTGCACCCACGTAGCACGGGGGATCCGTGTCAAATAGAGCCTCTGGACCCACCAGCAGGTTGCCACCCCGGAGACCGTGTGTTTGTGGAAGGCTTCGAGAGCGGCCAGCCTGACGATGAGCTGAAGCCCAAGAAGAAAGTCTTTGAGAAGTTGCAGGTAAGCAGATGTGTTTCCTTCTAAGGATCTGTTCTCCTTCGGCAGCATGGCAGGGTCAGGCAGAAGGAAGACGAGCATGGGTACAAAGCGAAAAAGCAAAGTGTGCTGATTATAGACCACCTCATATCGCTTAAAAGTACTCTCTCTGGGTAGTTTACAATTTTAATTAGGCTTCATGTCGCCCAGCAAGCTAGGTACTCAATCTGCCAGCTTCAGAAGGATGGAAAGCGGAGTCAACCTGCTTGGGCTAGTAGAAGTAGCACAGTTTATGGATCAAGGGCTGATCTCATGCATGATGCATGTCCTCCGAATGCTGCGACCTTCTGTTGATGCAAAACCTAGTGGCTGAATAAGCCCCATATTTTTCGTAGCCTCTGAATCCTTTGCGTTGTGGAAAAATAAATATTGGCACACGAACAGAGAAGGGTAGTAGGACACGTTGAGTGCCCTTGGGAGCAAGAGATAAGCTGCATGCAGTACTGGGTTGAGAGAGTGATGATGATGCCGTCAAGCCATTTTGATGGCTACTGGACGACTAAAGCATCGTTTTAGTTCTGACCATCAGAATTTTTTAAAAAAATAATATAGAGGTGGGAAATGTGCATAAAAGGGCAGGCAGGGTTATCAAAGGCCTAGAGGAATTCCTAGGTGAAAGGTTTTTTGCCCCGTGTGCGTGTGTGTGTATGGTAGGTCTTTAGAAAAAGAGTAAGAACAATATAAGGCGGGATTGTGTTTTTAAAAACACAAGCCAGCAGAAATCCCTGTTGTTTGCAGTGGAGTGATCTCCTACTTGCTTAACCAAAGCCATAAGCCAGAGGAATCTTAGGCTCCAGCGTCGCCAATAATTCCAATAGATTGAAACTGTGGTATATTTATTTATTTATTTGATTTATATCCCGCCCATCTGGTATATTTATACCACTCTGGTAGTACTGTGCCGTGTAAATTTTAGGGTAACCACAAAACACAGATATTAAATAAAACATTGCAGTAAAACTATGAGGAATAATTTTTATTCCTGTCATCAAAATGGCAATCAGCAAATAATGATGATGATGTCACAAGTTTTTGCAATGAAAATTCTGAGGCCCTCCAAAATGGTGTCACTTTGCCAGTACTGGTATGTCTGTCACTGGATTAATGTGTGTGTTCTGTGCCATCGGGTCGGAACTCATTTATAGTGACCTTAATGGGGCTTTCAAGGTAAGTGAGATATTTAAGGAGTGGCTTTTTACCAGTTCTAACACCCCTTCCCAGTGAGCTTCCATGGACGAGTGGGGATTTGAACCCAGGCCTCTTGAGTCCCACTCCATCACTCTTTACACAGAAACAAAAACTGTGTATGGTCTTTGCATCACGTCAGACCAATACTGGTTTCGTTGGGGTCTCCAGAGCGGCAGGCTTACCTGCAACCTTACCTGGAGAGGCAAACAGGGAAGTTGGCTTGCACCGTATGGATGCATCCCAGGAAAACCCCTCCTTGGCCATTAAGACTTTGACCTCCCCTGTTCTTTCTCTTCTCAGGCTGACTTCCAGATTTCTGAAGAGTTTGTGGCTCAGTGGAAAGGGAAAAACATCATGACCGGACTGGGCAATGTCACCTGCAAAACTCTGAAAGGGGGTGGCATCCGTTAAGAAGCCCCACCCTCACCACCATCGTCTTTTCTTTTTCATCCATGCCCATGGCTGCCCAAGAATCGTCCTCTGCACTTCATTGCCTGCCTGGCCCATCATCTGCACCTGGCCCAGGGAATAAATGAAATGAAGCTGACTTGGCTGCCAGGCTCCGGTGCGGATGGCCTCGGGGAGTTGGTCCGGAAGAATGCCTATAGCAACGGGAAGAGATTTGGCAAGAGAGGGACCGTCGCATTCCCCCCCCCCTCCCGATTGAGTCACTGCTGGTGGAAGCGAGGGCAGCCTCTTCTCGTGAGCCACCCTCGGAGGAGAAGGCAAGCCGCACCGGAGGCCTCCCGCCCTCTTAAACGGGCTCCTCATTTGCACCCGACTTCGAACAGAAAATCCCGTCCGTTTCACATTTGCTGCTTCTCCTGGACGTGGACCCAGGCCGGCACCCCCTGCAAGAGAGGGGCTTTGTTGGCACAGCCACGGTTAGGTTTGCCCATCATAAACCCTGAATTCTAAATCGGCACTACCTCCCCAATAAAATGGTTGCATTCTGACTCCCCGTGTCGTGGTCGTGGCCTCCAGGAGGGTGGGCTCTTGCTTAACTCATTGGAGAACCTGAATCACAGTTTACAGGCAGAAGGCCATGCAATTATTATTGATTTAGGCAGGAAAAGGGTCACCACAAGGTGAGAAACCAGCCTTATTGATTCGAGTTTGCTGTTCTGCGCCGGTGCAGGATTCTGTGAAACTCCGTCAGGTAGAACTGGTTGGCAGGTATAAATTTCCACGGGTGTAGCAGAAGTCCAGTGCTTCGATATGGAGAGTGGCACAAAATTATTCTTTCTGCCTAAAATTGTTAAGAGGGCCCCTGTATTTTATCCCGACTCCCCTGAGATCCCCTCACGGTCACACATGTTATAGAATCATGGAGTTGGAAGGGGCTTCGAAGGCCATCCAGTCCAACCCCCCCCCAAGGCAGGAATTCCAAGTCAAAGCAGACCTGACCCATGGATAATGCTTTGTTCCTTTCATCTACTAAAAGTTCACACTCTGATAAGTGCCCATCTGCCAAGGTCCGAAAACCCTTTTTGTTATATGTTTCCCCTTATGTTTCGAGTGAGAGGAACACACAGCTTCTTTGTAACGTTCACGTTTCTTTCTGCCATCCTCTTGAGTAAGATGCATCTCTCTTTAAACGCCCCCCCCCCCCACCTGCACGCCCCAGAGATCCCTTTACGAAGAGTTCTTGCTCCGCAGATCGCTTGGACAAATTTCCACCCACCCACCCACCGAAGGGGGAGCTCCTTGGGTCCCCCAGCAGAGGGTGGACGGGGCTCCACAGGAGAGAGAGAGAGAGAGACCGGGGATAGGAAGAGTGAGGTGAGCTGGCCTCTCATCATCCACCGCAACTCTCCCTGCCTGCTCCACCAGAGATGGCAGGTGTGACAGATGTATCACCTGGGTTCACTTCCCAGGAAAGACGGGTGATGGAGCTGCTCTGAACACCTCTCCCGGCCTTGGATGGAGGCACCGAGGAAGACAGCGTGGCTTTTGGAGAACTCTACCAGCTCCTCGGGAAGTAACCCACACAGAGATCACACCTGGCCGGTCTTCCTAAATGCCGTCTCCCCCCCTCCCTCTCCCAAGACATTTACACCACTGGCGAGAAGTAAAAGAGTCAGCAAGCAAGCTTTAATCACTCATCTTTACAAAGACACTTTTTTTAAAAACTCGAGTTCACCATCATTTTTTTTAAACTCCTCCCTTTCTCAAAGGTAGATTTCTTTTTCCTCTTTTTTTTTTGTTAAACAATCATGGAAATCAAATCAAATGACCCCAG